GGAACCCCAAACTGATGGAGAGATTGAGCGGGGAGCCCCTAATTATATATGTTAAATTAAAATTTGTCATATAAAACTGGTCCTATAGTCACTCTGTTACATGTGGAGTAATGTAACAAAAGTAATTTCTCCCTGGGATTATTAAAGTATTTCTGATTCTGATTCCTGGTTGATGGGACAGGTGTTGTGAATGAAACGGTGCCCAGCTTGAAAGAGCTCCTGTGTGTCGCTGAATGTGTGCATTGATGACTGAAAGACATCTTCTGCCTCCATTGATCTATTCACTACAGGCTGTTGAATTCATGTTAATGTGTACAGGTGCTGGTCATAAAATTAGAATATCATGAAAAAGTAGATTGATTTCAGTAATTCCATTTAAAAAGTGAAACTTGTATATTATATTCATACATTACATACAAACTCATATATTTCAGATGTTTATTTTGTTTAATTTTGATGATTACAAATGACAACAAATGAAAATCTCAAATTCATCATATCAGAAAATTAGAATATTGTGAAAAGGTTCAAAATTGATGGCCCCTGGTGCCACACTCTAATCAGCTAATTAACTCAAACCACCTGCAAAAGCCTTTAAATGGTCTTTCAGTCTAGTTCTATAGGCTACACAATCATGGGGAAGACTGCTGACTTGACAGTTGTCCAAAAGACGACCATCGACACCTTGCACAAGGAGGGCAAGACACAAAAGGTCATCGCTAAAGAGGCTGGCTGTTCACAGAGCTCAGTGTCCAAGCACATTAATAGAGAGGCGAAGGGAAGGAAAAGATGTGGTCGAAAAAAGTGTACAAGCAAGAGAGATAACCGCACCCTGGAGAGGATTGTGAAACAAAACCCCTTCAAAAATGTGGGGGAGATTCACAAAGAGTGGACTGCAGCTGGAGTGAGTGCTTCAAGAACCACCACACACAGACGTATGAAAGACATGGGTTTCTGCTGTCGCATTCCTTGTGTCAAGCCACTCTTGAACCACAGACAGCGTCAGAAGCGTCTTGCCTGGGCTAAAGAGAAACAGGACTGGACTGCTGGTGAGTGGTCCAAAGTCATGTTCTCTGATGAAAGTAAATTTTGCATTTCCTTTGGAAATCAAGGTCCCAGAGTCTGGAGGAAAAGAAGAGAGGCACTTCATCCACGTTGCTTGAAGTCCAGTGTAAAGTTTCCACAGTCAGTGATGGTTTGGGGTGCCATGTCATCTGCTGGTGTTGGTCCATTGTGTTTTCTGAGGTCCAGGGTCAACGCAGCCACATACCAGGAAGTTTTAGAGCACTTCATGCTTCCTGCAGCTGACCAACTTTTTGGAGATGCAGATTTCATTTTCCAACAGGACTTGGCACCTGCACACAGTGCCAAAGCTACCAGTGCCTGGTTGAAGGACCATGGTATCCCTGTTCTTAATTGGCCAGCAAACTCTCCTGACCTTAACCCCATAGAAAATCTATGGGGTATTGTGAAGAAGAAGATGCAATACACCAGACCCAACAATTCAGAAGAGCTAAAAGCCACTATTAGAGCAACCTGGGCTATCATAACACCTGAGCAGTGCCACAGACTGATCGACTCCATGCCACGCCGCATTGCTGCAGTAATACAGGCCAAAGGAGGCCCAACTAAATACTGAGTGCTGTACATGCTCATACTTTTCATGTTCATACTTTTCAGTTGGCCAACATTTCTATAAATCCTTTGTTTTTATTGGTCTTCAGTAATATTCTAATTTTCTGTTATGATGAATTTGAGATTTTCATTTGTTGTCATTTGTAATCATCAAAATTAAACAAAATAAACATCTGAAATATATGAGTTTGTATGTAATGTATGAATATAATATACAAGTTTCACTTTTTAAATGGAATTACTGAAATCAATCTACTTTTTCATGATATTCTAATTTTATGACCAGCACCTATATTTAAAGACGTTTCAAGCAACACAAAAGAGACTGAACAAACTGGTGAGAAAGGCCGCTTCTGTCCTAGGCTGCATTCTGGACTCAGTGGAGGAAGTGAGCGAGAGGAAGGTGCTGTCCAAGCTTACATCCATAATGGACAACACCCTCCACCCTCTGCACCAGACTGTAGAGGAGCTGATCAGCTCCTTTAGTCAAAGACTTTTACACCCTGTTAGTAAAAAGGAGCGCTACTGCAGGTCATTGATCCCTGCTGCAACCAGACTCTACAATGCAACACTATAACGGCAATAACTTTTGCAATGTATAATGTGCAATTTACTATTTGATACCCTGTGCAATAACCTTTTTCCCTATACTTGACACCCGATGCAATATATATATATATATATATATATATATATATATATATATATATACACTCACCGGCCACTTTATTAGGTACCCCATGCTAGTAACGGGTTGGAACCCTTTTGCCTTCAGAACTGCCTCAATTCTTCGTGGCATAGATTCAACAAGGTGCTGGAAGCATTCCTCAGGGAGTTTGGTCCATATTGACATGATGGCATCACACAGTTGCCGCAGATTTGTCGGCTGCACATCCATGATGCGAATCTCCCGTTCCACCACATCCCAAAGATGCTCTATTGGATTGAGATCTGGTGACTGTGGAGGCCATTTGAGTACAGTGAACTCATTGTCATGTTCAAGAAACCAGTCTGAGATGATTCCAGCTTTATGACATGGCGCATTATCCTGCTGAAAGTAGCCATCAGAAGTTGGGTACATTGTGGTCATAAAGGGATGGACATGGTCAGCAACAATACTCAGGTAGGCTGTGGCGTTGCAACAATGCTCAATTGGTACCAAGGGGCCCAAAGAGTGCCAAGAAAATATTCCCCACACCATGACACCACCACCAGCCTGAACCGTTGATACAAGGCAGGATGGATCCATGCTTTCATGTTGTAGACGCCAAATTCTGACCCTACCATCCGAATGTCGCAGCAGAAATCGAGACTCATCAGACCAGGCAACGTTTTTCCAATCTTCTATTGTCCAATTTCGATGAGCTTGTGCAAATTGTAGCCTCAGTTTCCTGTTCTTAGCTGAAAGGAGTGGCACCCGGTGTGGTCTTCTGCTGCTGTAGCCCATCTGCCTCAAAGTTCCACGTACTGTGCGTTCAGAGATGCTCTTCTGCCCACCTTGGTTGTAACGGGTGGTTATTTGAGTCACTGTTGCCCTTCTATCAGCTCAAACCAGTCTGGCCATTCTCCTCTGACCTCCTGCATCAACAAGGCATTTCCGCCCACAGAACTGCCGCTCACTGGATGTTTTTTCTTTTTCGGACCATTCTCTGTAAACCCTAGAGATGGTTGTGCGTGAAAATCCCAGTAGATCAGCAGTTTCTGAAATACTCAGACCAGCCCTTCTGGCACCAACAATCATGCCACGTTCAAAGTCACTGAAATCACCTTTCTTCCCCATACTGATGCTCGGTTTGAACTGCAGGAGATTGTCTTGACCATGTCTACATGCCTAAATGCACTGAGTTGCCGCCATGTGATTGGCTGCTTAGAAATTAAGTGTTAACGAGCAGTTGGACAGGTGTACCTAATAAAGTGGCCGGTGAGTGTATATATATATATATATATATATATATATATATATATATATATATATATATATATATATATATATATATATATATACTGCATTTCGTTGCCTTGTACCTGTGTAATGACAATAAAGTTGAATCTAATCTAATATATATATATAAATATAAATAAATATCCATCTGTATAAATACCCACGTAAACACCCTGTGCAATAACCCGGTATAATGATCCTACTATAAAAAAAAAACTGTCATATGTGGATGCACTGTATATACTGTATATTTCCCATGCATTGTTTTCTTCCTTTGGAACCTTCTTCTTCTCCTTTGACTATTTGAGCTGATGTAATGAGTAAATTTCTCCACTGTGAGATCAATAAAGTCAATCAATGAATCAATCAAACATGGAGGAGGCTCTGTTATGCTCTGGACTTCTTTGCTCCATCCGTTTTAAATCTCTGCAGGGTCCAATAAAATCTCTAGACTATTAAAGGATTCATTTTTTTTTTTTTTCTCTGACCGTGACTGAGTGGATGTGCTCTCTTCGTCCTCTGGCATGGGAGCTGCCTTGGAGCTCGTCTGCCTGGCTGTGTGTTTCCTGGACGGGGCCGCCTTTTCTCTGCTTCTGTCTCCTTGAACCCCAGTCGGCCTCGGCAGATGGCCGCTCACACTGAGCCTGGTTCTGCTGGAGGTTTCTTCCTGTTAAAAGGGAGTTTTTCCTCTCCACTGTCGCTACAAGCATGCTTAGTGTGGGGGATTGTATTTGAGTCAATGAGTCAATGCAATCAACTGGTTTTCCTTAGATAGAAAACTTTGTATCAATTTGACTGTATGATCTGGTTGAACTGTAAAGTGCCTTGAGATGACGTGTTGTGAATTTGGCGCTATATAAATAAACCGAATTGAATTGAATTGAAGAAACAATGAGCTGCAGTTTCAGAAAGCTTGGTCTCAGTTGCAGGTGAATGGGTGATATATATGAATATTTAGTACTCTGTGTTCTTCCTTAAGGCCGTTGATATTTCTCCAGTTTGTCATGTCCTTCCATCATGCTTCCAGGTGCTGCCCATTCAGCGTAAAGGGGATGTTTTACTGTGTTTGACTGGCCAGGAAACTGGTCCGATCTAAACTGCATGGAGGCTCTGAGGACTGGCATCAAGAGGAAGATGAAACACAATGCAGATGAGCTGAAGGAAGCCATTAAACTACTTGTTTTTATTAGCCATCAGTCACGGACCTAAATGAACCGTTTTCAGTTCGGCTTCTGAAATGGATCCCGTCTGTGGGATCTCAGGGGGAAGCTGAAAAGATGAAAAACCTGGAAAAATGCTCCTTGACAACATTTCATCCTGCCGAGCTGACCACCGCTAAACTAAGATGATGGAACAGGACTGATGAAGATGACTGGATGTTCCTCAATGACTTAATCAGACAACACAGACAAGCTTAGTGGTTCAGGGTTTTATCATTTTCTAAAATAAAAAAAGAAATTTAATTCAAACATTTGCTAATTAGAGAGACATTTGGATTACAGCCCAGTCTCCTTTACTTCCAACCAACATTGAATTCCTAACATTACTTGACTCTAAGTCTAAACTAGAGTCCTACATCATGGGAACCAGTTTGCTCCCTTTGTTTCCTGGAGGCTCCTTGAGTAGATTTTCTGTCGAGTTTGGTCTTCATGAAGATGTGAGAACAAACAGAGCTGCAGCAGACGTCTTCAGAAGTTTTCCTTGTAGAAGTTGAAGCCGAACGTTTCACACTGAGCTTTGATGACTTTAGCCAGAGCCGGAGCGCCGCAGTAAAACACGTGCACTTTACCTTTGTTTTCCTCTGACAGTTTCTGGAACACCTGGCAGACAGAAAAACAAACAAGCTGCATGGATGGAGCTGGAGGACAACTGCGGCTGGATCATAATCAGAGAGGATCGTTCCCTCCACCAATCTGTAAAGTATATTCCACAACAAACAAACCAGGAGGAAAACTGAAGCGTCAAATCCTACAGATCCGAGAGGACCTGATGGAAAGAGCTTCAAGATCCTCTGGATCCAGAGAATCTTCCTTAGAAAGGAAAAGCCAAATCAAACCATGAGGGGAGCATCATGTTTCTTACACATTCAACAACCCTCAGGATTTTATTTCAATATTTGGTGTTATTATTATTATTATCACTACTTTAATTGGTACTTGTCATCTTATTTTCACTACAGTGCTTAACATGATATATTAGTGTTAAAAGTAATACATAGGTATATAGGTATATAGTACCTGTGGCTTGCTCAACGCTTTGAGACAAATTTAGAGATACTGGGGATGAATTGAATATTTCTAGACTTCTTTCTAGCTTTAAGCTGTTATCCTCTGAATAACCTGAAAAAATAAGATATCTACTGCTGTATCTGGATATAACACCTTTGGCATGGTATCCATACTAAAGACTTGCATATATTTGATTTTTTTTTTTGTTTGTTTTTTGTGCAGATTTCTAGGTTATTTGCACATCAAAAAAATTATACCTCAGACAATTTTAAAATATTAAAGACAACTGGATCATTGTCTAGCAACTGAAGATAATGTTCTACAAAACGTGTCTTTGCTGCTAACACTGTTTGCTCTTTATTAGATTGGGGCGTACCATTGCCTAGCAGCCATTCCAGCCAATAGAATTACTCAATAGATAAGGTGTGCCTGTTTCGTTTCTTTATTCCTAGTTCTCCTGTGTTACTACTATAGCTATAACCATGTAAAAAAAAAAAACACGAAAATTTTTCTAAAAATTATGATACAAATTCATAAATACTCACTTTTTGAGAATTACATAAATGTTCTGCAAAATATCTCAACAATAAGTTAATGTAAGTTACTTCAAATAAAATGGATTTATAATAGAAACTATTAAAATTATTCGCTAAATACAAAAAAACAAACATGTTTTCTATGTCAATAAAAATTTTAAAATTTTTTCATCCACACTCCATTAAAAATGATACAGGGTATCGAATGGATACAGACTTTTCAGACTTCAGTAATTTTTAATTAAATTTAAGCATCTGTTAATATTATATATATATATATATATATATATATATATATATATATATATATATATATATTGTACATATATGTATATGTACATGTATATACTATACATTCAACCTCCACACTGGTCCCCAGGCACCACACAATGGCAGCCCACTGTCATCCAAGGTGATGGGTTAAATGGAGAGTGAATTTCCCCACTGTGGGACAATAAGGATTTATTTATTTTATTTTATTTATGTTTTTATATTTTTAATAACATAAATGATTTATCACTAAATAATTTCTATCAATATTACATAGCCTTCAAAATTTGGGAATCAATTCACAAATTATTGTAATATATCTGCATTAAAGAAACATCTCATCATATTAATAGATCATATTTTATGTCAAAAAACACAGATTGAAAGAGATATTGGCCTCTGGCAAAATATAAGGAATAGAAGAAGAAGAATTCAACTTTATTGTATTTTCACTGTCACAAGTACAAAGCAATGAAATTCACTCTGCATTTAAGCAATCCCCTTGGGTAGCAGTGGGTTGCCATGTGCGGCACCCGCGGAGCAGTGTGGGGGTTAAGGGTCTTGCTCAGGGACCCAGAGTGGCAGTCTGTGGGAGTGGTGGGGCTTCAACTCAGAACCTCTGGGATTCAAGCGCAATGCCCTAACCACTAGGCCACCACTCCGCATAAGGAGGGTATTTCCAGCTAAAAAATCCTGAATTTTAAGATTTATGATCATCTTCTGAAAACCAACCAGAAACGCTAATGTTGGCCACTGACTGCATGAGGGCTAACCAGATGCTAAACCCTCTGCTAAGGATTCCTACCTGCTGATATTACCTCAGGAAAATTCCCACAAGGTTAAGAACCAGTCATTTAACCTCCTAACATCCACCTCATTTTGGGACATTCTCACCCATTTTGCATGCCCAAATGCAAAAGCAAATAACTTAGGGTCTGTAAGCCCAAATTACATGTGTGATACATTATTTGAAAGCTAACACTTTCTAGTTTCTAAATATATACATTAATATTTGGTGGGTAAAACACAGCCCAAGCTGCATCAGTTCAAACATGACTCAAAGCTGTTTATTTTGCTCTTGAAAATAATAGGTGTTTTTTTGAACAGCAGTAATAGTCATGCTTGCTTGCTGTGGCTGCTTCGTCATGTTTACATTTTGACATTCTGCTATATTTGTGTTAACTGTGCTTTGGTGCTCACTGTGTTCATAAAATAACCCCGGTGGTTGGATTAAGGAGAATCCGAGCTTTCCAACGATGTCTAACATGTCTATATTGCTAAACATATTACCGTTGGGATTTTCATGCATTCTGAGTTATTAGTTTAAACGCTTTAAAGGAATAGTACACCCAAAACATGATTAGCCTTCATTTTCTACTCACCCCCATGCTGAACAACACTCTGGAGTACTTTTTTGATATCTCAAATGCATCTGGAGATCTGGGAGGCTTCTTGCTGTCTGCTGACATTCAAATAATGGAGGTCTATGGTGCCCGAGGCAGAAAGGTCCATAAAAGTCCACAAAAAACGTGTCAATATTCCTCCATACTGCTCGTCCAATGTATTCCAAGTGTCTGAGTGGGTAGCGTCCATAATTTACTCGAAACGAAGTCATTTAGAATGTTTTTAGAGCATAAACAGTAGTGTATAGGATTTCCTAAAAGCGCGTTCACGAGTCTACGGAAACCGCGGCAGACCAAACCAGATGAAAGTGCGCATTCAGCTCGGCAAATAACTCATGCTCTTTCTTAACACTGAAGTCCTCAGACATTTTTCTTTCGTTGTTTCTTTCTTTGCACAGGTAAACAGCACATTTCTTCTTCTACGCTTGCATTATCGGCAGAGCAGACGCTGAATGCGCACTTTCATCTGGTTTGGTCTGCTGCGGTTTCCGTAGACTCGTGAACGCGCTTTTAGGAAATCCTATACACTACTGTTTATGCTCTAAAAACATTCTATGACTTCGTTTCGAGTAAATTATGGACGCTACCCACTCAGGACACTTGGACGAGCAGTATGGAGGAGTATTGACACGTTTTTTGTGGACTTTTATGGACCTTTCTGCCTCGGGCGCCATAGACCTCCATTATTTGAATGTCAGCAGACAGCAAGAAGCCTCCCAGATCTCCAGATGCATTTGAGATATCAAAAAAGTACTCCAGAGTGTTGTTCAGCATGGGGGTGAGTAGAAAATGAAGGCTAATCATGTTTTGGGTGTACTGTTCCTTTAAAACCGGTAGCCAGCAACCAGGTGGGTTTTGAGAGGCTGAACGTTTCTGATTTCTGTTTCAGGTAAATCATTTCATAAAATAATATTTTGCCAAATAATGTTTTATTGACCTCTTGGGTTTGCATTATGATTTAGGTTTAACATATTTTAATTGCTTTAAATAAGTGAAAAAATTATTTGACCTCAGTCCAGTTCTTCAAGTTAAACCTCGTCTCTAAATTATAAAACCCCCATAGAAGAGGGATATCATGAAATGATTTTATTGTTTATAGTTTTCACCCATCATTCAAATCAACTAAACAGTTTTAGTTGAGAAACTGTTGATTTGTGAATTTTTTTTAGCTGAAATATGTTTGCCCTGGATTTGAGGTTTTTAGAATACATTCTTATATTTTGAAAGGAAGCTTTTGTTAATTTATCCCATATATGAGCAGAGTTAATGTTTAAACATGATTTTAACTAAAAGCTGTCTACTTTTAAGGGTAGGCTTAAAACTTTTCTTTTTGATAAAGCTTATTGTTAGAGTGGCTCAGGTTATCCAGTGCTATCTCTATTGTTATGCTGCTATAGGCTTAGACCGCTGGAGGACATAGGGACCCCTTTTTCATCATTCTATCTCTATTCTCCCATTCTGCAGAATTCAATCTCTAATATTATGCTCTCTCTGCTTTTTCTCATAGTGGCTTTATAGATATAGTCTGTTCCTGTTTGGCTGTGACGCCATCCTGTAAAGAACTATCAGCTGTGCTGCTGCCATCAACACCTTTGTTTATAGATGTTGGAGCTTGACCTGTTTGACCTTTTTCAGTGTAGTCCCGTTTCTCAGACTGTGACTAATTGTATGGGCTCTTCTTTATCCCCTGACATGGGAGCTGGCTCGGACCCAGGCCTGGTTGTTTGTTTCCTGGAAGGGGGCCCCCTGTGGAGCTGGTTGACAGTTGCATTTTGTATCTATGCTTCTTTTTCTATGTCTGCTTCCATCTCTTTGAACCCCAGTCGACCTCAGCAGATGGCCGCTCACACTGAGCCTGGTTTTGCCGGAGGTTTCTTCCTGTTAAAAGGAAGTTTTTTCTCTCTACTGTCGCTACAAGCATGCTTAGTGTGAGGAATTGCCTTGGAGTCAATGAGTCGATGCAATCAAACGGCTTTCCTTAGATAGAAAACTTTAAATCAATTTGACTGAATGATCTGGTTGAATTGTCCCTGTAAAGTGCATTGAGATGACATGTGTTGTGAATTGGGTCTCAAGAAATAAACTGAATTGAATTCATTTCAGTTCCTAACAAACAGCCAGATGGGCGTGTTAACAGACCAATAATCAAATTTCAATAGACAATAAAAACATAAAATCAGAACAGTCATTAACTGATTAAAAGTAGGAAAGGAGATGACCCTCATCTGCTAATCGCGACCTACAGCTGTTTAGTTTGTTTTAGTACCTGCTTTTATCATGTTTTTATCTTTACCTGCTTTGATTCTGCTTTGATTTTGTTTTCTATTTTATTGTTTAATCATGTGTATTACTTTGAATTGTCCTTTTACTGAATTGTACTATAGAAATAAAGTTCCCTTGCCTACATTTGTATTTAGAAGTTAGTTAAGGATAAAATGAGAGAGATCAGAGAGAACTAGTTCATGTGTGTTTTTTTTAGATCCTCTGTATGAAAATTATAAACTTTATGACGACTCAAACTGGACGGCTGACACTCTGAAGTCTCTAAAACCTTATGGATCCTTCTGCTCTAATTCTTGTTCCTTGATCTCATAGAATAAATAATTTGAACCCAAACTAAAAGATTTTTCATCATCATCATTATCATCTTCATCATCATCATCGGTTCTGGTGGATTAGATACAAGAAGGGCCTCACCTTCCCCCATTCGGGTCGGCCTGGCTGAGTTCTGGTCTTCAGGCCTGTGATGGAGTCTTTCTCCTCTTTCTTGGCCAGAAGGTCGAGCGCCATCTGCAGGCCGATGGCCTTCATGTCGTTCTTGCCAAGAGCTGATGTCATGTACATGTGCATCTCCAGGAAGCGCCCTGAAAGACACCAGCTGTGTTAATAAACCCAGTGACTCCTCTAAGGCTGCAGCAATGAGCACAGACTGATAGTTAAATGTTTGGATTGATCAGGTGAGTGAGGGTTAACTGCTAACTGCCTCAGTGTGTTTCTGTCCTGAGCAGCAGCCCTAATGACCTGCCATTAGAAACCATTTACAACAGATCTATTTCCCAGCCCTCAGTCTGACTGAAATCATGGGAAAATATCTGGATTTATTCTTTCTCTGGTCCTGCAGACATGCAGCAGTTTAGCTGCTCATCTATTTTCTCTCACCCTCTGGCTCGCCATCAGCCTGGTCCATCTCCAGTTTGGTGAGCAAACTAACGAACCATTCGAAGGAACGCTGGTCTCTGTTGATCCAGATGAAGTCGACCTGCGAGGCGGAAACAGACAGAAGCAGTTCTGCTCCATCAGGTCGGACAAGTTAGTGTTTCATCCCGCTGCTGGTCTTACTTTACGCAGCTCCATGTCGTTGTCTTTGATGTTTTCACACCAGGAGTAGTTGCAGTTGGGACAGTTGTGCTTCCTCATGCGGTACCTGAGTTCAAACCACGGCTTGATTAGAGACAGGTGGCTCTGATTTAACCTCCGACATGAGCAAAAATCATAACGGCTAGTCCTGGTTAGTGAACTGATCCTTAATTATTAAAATGGCCATGGTCAATTAACTGGTCCTGGTTACTTAGCCATTCCATGTCAATTGACTGGTCTTGGTTAGTTAACCAGTCCTTCTTACTTATCTAGTTAGGTCAGTTAAAAGGGTTCTGCTCAGTTAACTGGTCCTGGTTACTTAACCATTCCATGTCAATTAACTGGTCCTGGTTACTTAACCATTCCATGTCAATTGACTGGTCCTGGTTACTTAACCATTCCATGTCAATTGACTGGTCCTGGTTACTTAACCATTCCATGTCAATTGACTGGTCTTGGTTAGTTAACCAGTCCTTCTTACTTATCTAGTTAGGTCAGTTAAAAGGGTTCTGCTCAGTTAACTGGTCCTGGTTACTTAACCATTCCATGTCAATTGACTGGTCCTGGTTACTTAACCATTCCATGTCAATTGACTGGTCCTGGTTACTTAACCATTCCATGTCAATTGACTGGTCTTGGTTAGTTAACCAGTCCTTCTTACTTATCTAGTTAGGTCAGTTAAAAGGGTTCTGCTCAGTTAACTGGTCCTGGTTACTTAACCATTCCATGTCAATTAACTGGTCCTGGTTACTTAACCATTCCACGTCAATTGACTGGTCCTGGTTACTTAACCATTCCATGTCAATTGACTGGTCTTGGTTAGTTAACCAGTCCTTCTTACTTATCTAGTTAGGTCAGTTAAAAGGGTTCTGCTCAGTTAACTAGTCCTGGTTAGTTAACTGGTCATGTTTACCTAAATAGTCCAGGTCAGTTTACTGGTCCTAAACAGTTAACTGATTATGGTCAGTTAACTAGTCTTGGTGAGTTTTCTGATCCTGAATACCTAACTGTTCCTGGTCAGTTAACTGATCTTGAATAGTTAACTGGTCCTTGTTACTTAATTAGTCCATGCCAATTAACTGGTCCTGGTTGGTTTACTGGTCCTGAATAGTTAACTGGTCCTGGGTAGTTAACTGATCTTGAACAGTTAACTGACCCTGAACTGTTAAGTGGTCCTGGTCACTTAACTATTCAGGTTCAGTAAACTATTCCTGGTTAGTTTACTGGTCCTCAATAGTTAAGTGGTCCTTATCTGTTAAATAGTCCTGGTTACTTAACAAGTCCAGGTCAGTTAACTATTCCTTATTAGTTTATTAGTCCTAAATAGTAAACTGGTTCTGGTTGGTTTAGGGGTCCTGCATAGTTTAGTGGTCCTGGTCAGTAAACTGGTCCTGGATAGTTAAGTGGTCCTGATTAGTAAACTGGTCGTGGTCAGCTAATTGGTCCTGAATAGTAAATCGTATTCTGGTCAGTTTAGTAGTCCTGGTTAGTTTACTGGCCTTGAATAGTTAACTGGTTCAGGTCAGTTAACTATTCCTGGTTATTATACTGGGCCTGAACAGTTAATTGGTCCTGGTCTGTTAAATAGTCCTGGTTACTTAACTATTCCTGGTCAGTTTATTGCTCCTATTCCCTTTTTCACTCACTTCAATCTGTTATCTCATCAATGTGTGAGAATGTAGGGTGATGCATGCTCCATTGACAGGGGAGGTAATTCTCTGCATTTATCCGTCCACCAAAACTCTCAATTGTAGGGCATCCATGCATGCAATACGCAATATGAAAACATTAACAATATGTTTAAAAGTTCCCTTTTCGTTCATATTTCAATCTGTTTTCTCTTCAGTGTGCAAGGGGGGAAGTATTTCTCTGCATAACACCGGTCCGGTAAGTTAACTGGTCTTGGTTAGTTAATTATTTTTTTCTTTGAAGGAACATAATAAATTAGTAAAGCTTATCACAAAGAAATTTGCATGGCGGTCTTAGTCCTCAACGCGGGCGACCCGGGTTCGAATCCGGCCTGTGGTCCTTTCCCGCATGTCTCCCCCCCTCTCTCATACCCCCTTTCCTCTCAGCCTACTGTCCATATAACGAGTCACTAGTGCCGTAAAAACTAAAATAATAAATAGATAAAAAAAGTTTCTCTCACTGTTTTGTCAATCGATCAAATAAAAAAAATGAAGGAACGTTGCATTTAGCATCACGCTCTGACCCAAAACCTTTCATTTAACCTTTTTGATAATACTAATAGTTTTCTGAGCTGGTTCTGACACGGTAAGAAACGTGTTGTTAGAGAGCCAAACATTTGCCACAGGCCCTCTGAACCAGTAGAACCATTGATGGAGAGGACTGGGATTTGGAGGGTTTTCTAACCGGTACATGATGCTCTGCAGGATGGAGGCGAATGGTGTGATTCCTATTCCAGCTCCGATCAGCACAGCGTGTTCAGAGGCAAAGATCTGACGGGTCGGCGTCCCATACGGTCCATCAACGTAGCACTGGAACCAACATAATCAGGACAGGACATGTCCATGTTCCAACACAAACAAACACAGCAACACTTCATTAATGGGAATTTATGTGACATAACAAAAAGTAGCTGAAGGCTGTGAAGCAAAAGTAAAAAAAAAATTAAAACATAATCTGAAATATGTTGTTGCTATTTGATCCCCTTTACCCGGATGTCCCCAAAGAAAACTCAGTGCAGTTACCTTTACACAAAACATGTTTGCATGATTCAATCTGGATATAAATGTAGATGCTCCATTAAGGCCTCAGAGGTTTTTGAGAGAATAAACAGCCTCAAAGACCTATGAGGTCAGCAGACAGGTAGGGTAGAAACCGGTGTCCTGCACTGTTAGGTGTGTCTCTACTGCAACAAACCTGAGGCAAATAATCATATAAGTAAGCACTCTATCCAAAGTGGCTGTCCATAATCGGGGCTGTCTGAATAGGGCTGGCAATAAGGAAGGAGGTAAGAATAGGAAACATAGTTATGTTCTGCTTTGTGTCACTCTATTGAACAAAACACAAATTACATAGATCAAAGTGTTTTGTTCCAAAGCAAGATAATATACATTTTTTTCTAAAAACTGAGCAAAACAGAGCAGCGGTTGGTAGCGACACTCCTCTGTGTCGCTACCAACGACACAGAGGAGGGGGGGTGGGGCGGCAGCACAGGGTAGAGCTTGGAGGTTTTGTGGGATCGGTACCTTGATGTTGCAGAATCTGTGGTTCTCTGCAGACTTAGTAGAAATCTGCAGGTAAAACGAGCAGAAGAGGATCAGAATTGTGATCGGAAGAGTCTCAAATTCATCATAACATCCCCAAAAAGGTGGTGCTATATTTATTTCACAGAAACTTCCTGGGAGAAGTTTATGCTGCACAAGTCAGCAACTAACCCTAATGGATGGATGGATGATGGTTGAGTGGATGGATGAATGGTTGGATGATGGATGGATGTATGGATGGATGGATGATAGATGGATGGATGGATGGATGGATGGATGTATGGATGGATGGATGATGGATGGATTGATAGATCATGGATGGATGTATGGATGGATGGATGGATGGATGGATTAATGGATGGATGTATGGATGGATGGATGATGGATGGATTGATAGATCATGGATGGATGTATGGATGTATGGATGGATGGATGGATTGATAGATCATGGATGGATGTATGGATGTATGGATGTATGGA